TCTCTGTGAACGCCTACACTGGCTGCGGCAAAAAAGAACTGAGCCCTATACATTTCAGTATTTACAGGGTTTTCTGAGGCACGGTTAGAGATTGGGGGGCATGGATCAGCATATATTGTGTTCGAGGTCACAATTGTTTCTGCAGGAGTGTGTGCAACAGAGACCGGTGTCAAACTCAGGATAGGCCCAGAGTGTTGCCAGTCTATTTCCTCCTTCCCGGCATCCAAGATTCAAGACACGGTCAATCCCCTTCTCCCGCTCTCTTCCCTCCTTTAAATAACATGAACTGAACAGTCTGTCCCGCTCTAAAAGGCAGAGGTTCAACCGGCTTATGAGAGTATTGGGTTCTTTCTTACTGGGTAGGTGAACTGACCCCGCCTCATGCGATGATCCCATGAACTGCAAGAAACAGCAAAAGACATGTTTTGAGTCGCTTCACGATGAGGCTTCGGCGCTTGGCAGTGGAGGACCGAGAGCGCCTGCACCGACGCAAGGGGCCTTGGTTGCTACCGGAGATTGGGTTCAGCTGGATCCATTTTAGAAGATCTTGGAAGAGTATTTATCCCGGTCTTCCAACGTTAAAATGAAGAGCACTAAGAGCACGCACCAAAATTGTGCTTGGGTTGGAATTGGATCTGCCCTAGCTTCCTTTTCCAACAAGTCCAAGTAGTAAGGTCTACTAGTACAGGTGGTACCTTCAAGGTTCCACAAGCTTGCTGCGACTGCTCCGTGCTCCGTGCCTGCATGCTCCTTCCGCCTGGGCAGACGTTGGGAGACGCTCCCAATCTTTGTACGTCAGAGATGATACTCTGACTGGGATGTCTCTGTAAAACGCAACCTCGACAAAAATCACAGGATGGGCACACCACTCAAATGCACTTCGATGTGAACGTATAGACGCATGACTTTCAATTAGTTGCTTTCATATCATTTCTGCCATTTTACAGTAAACATCTGTTTTTTCTCAGGCATTTTTGCCACCAAATTTGTGTTGTGTGAGGCATGGATCGGGCAGTGTCCAGCTCCTTCTCGTCGAGATCTCGGACCTTCGCGAGAGTGGAGCTCCTTCGCGGAGAGTTCTCTCCCCACCGGTCCAATCCGGTCCAAGTGGGCCGGTCGTAGAGATGTTTGTTCGCAACACAGATTTTTACAGATCTGGTGAACCAGATCTGGTTCATCCGCGAAGTTGCTTGGCTTTGGCGATCCTGCGCACATGGATGCTCTCCAACGGAGAGAACTGGTTGTTTTTCCGATCGTCGATCCAAGAACCGATTCGTGGCCTTCCGAAGCCATGCTTGATCCGAATCATATCAGGTTGAGCTACGGGTCGGTCGGTTGAGGCCCATTGTCCTGGCTCGGATGCTGGCACACCTACCCAGTGAAGAGGTGAGTCGAGGGCAAAGATCATGTTCATACTGACAGGCTCGAAGATCATGTTGTGGGGACCTGGAAGGACCTGTGTTGGATAACAATGAGACTGATTGAACTAGGAGTTGCATCGAATATCTATGCTCAGAACAAAGAATGAAGAATGTAAGGACTAGTGTAAGGGACCAGCCGTCATTGGCTTGGTACTGGGTAACACGACCAGTGAAGACTTTAAGAGCCGTTGGAACCCGGAGGTTCACTCCATCGAGCGATGGATCGTGGATGAGGGTGTGCTGTGCTAAGACCTGAAGAAAGTCCCATGTGTGCCCTGCCAGGAGCTACTAGTAGCTTCTTTGCTCCTAGTAGTAAGGCCAGGAGCCCCTAGTAGCGTCCTTGCTCC